AACAGAAAACTCATCCAAAAGTCTCGAAAAGGGATTTCCACGCTGGCGATTATTTATAGGCTGCGCATTAGAGGTAGCCTGGGAGAGCTTTTCTTAGAAATTACTGGTAGCCTATGGAATGCAATATCCTAGTTTGATGACTGAGTTTATACTCCAGAGGGAGTATATTGATTCTAAGGAGGGGGGTACCACGAGCTTTATTTCCCACCGTGGCTCAAAACCTGATGATGTCACCGCCCCTTGGGTCTACACACAGGATGGAAATGCAAGGTCTTCTTTTCAGTCGATGCAAATATTGTAGTTGATATTTGCATTTGGGTTTCTTAGGCATTGATAAAAACCCAATTGATTCATCTGTCATGTGGCGAATACATTTGCCATTCTCCGTTGTATGTATGATAGAGGTATACGTTTCCGAAGTCACAGGGCAAGAAAGTTTTCACAGAGCACTCAGAAATCACCAATGTACCTAAGATCTCAACAAAACGTGTGTGGGTAGGTGTGGGTGGGTGTGGGATGTAGATTGAATAATTTCTTAGCTGTTTTCAATCCAAAATGGAAACAAAGGACTTTTATTTTTATGTCTATCTCATCAAACCCAAAACGTGTTTCTTCACGGGATGAATAATTACATATAGTATAATGCTGCTGCTATTTGTACTTTTCTCATTAGCCATCATTTTCCTTGCCTGAGAAAGCAATACTTAATTAAGGGCCATGGTAGAGGTAGGTGTGTTTTCTGTGGGCCTTTTGAGGCTATGGAGTCATTACAACAGATCATTATTTTCACGAATAGTGTAGCCATTGTACAAACAGCACATTCACTCACAAAGCTGTCTTTTTAAAAGTTTTGCAAGTCTTTGCTATTTACTGAGCATTGGAACACGAGCCCCTCTGGGTGAAAGCTGAAGGAATATCTACTTCATTTGCAACAGAAAGTGTTTATTCCCAGCATACTTCTGTGAGAGGGGAACATAAATGAACGTCCGACGTTAATACAGAGTGGAAAGAACGCTAAACTAAAACAAAACGGGAAAAGATTCGGGGGAATTCATTGGAGGATTCGCCTGAGCTTTGCGTTCTTGCAAAGCAACATTGTACTAGCTAAAAGAATAATATTCATTTCTCCATGGAGGGTGCAATTCATCCGGCTTTTACTTCTTTTACAGTGATAAAATAAAATAAAATAAATTCCACTTGCCCCGCAGTTCTTCCTAGCATCCCCGTACGTTTCTTATCAGTAACTGAAGCTTCCTAATTGAGTTTCTTTTTTTGTAAGGTCCATTTGTACCCCAGAGAATCGCCCCCTTTTAAAAAAGCACTACTATGGAAAATATTCCCATTCATGAGACGTGGCTATTGTTTACGGCAATATAAATAATGAAGGTGATGCTATGAGGTCAGAAGTCAAGCGGCTTTGATTTTGCAACGTTTGCTCCCATTTTTTTTCTGGTCTGAAAATGAAACTGGGGAGCAGTCAGAAGCCAGAACAACTCTTAGCCTACCGCCCCCTGCATTCTGTGGGGGCGCGTCGCTGGTTTTCGGTCTGCTTGCCGGTGGCTCTTTTGAAGATTCATATTTGGGGTCAGCACCAGGCAAAGCAGATCCCTATTTGAGGGGGGGGGGCGAGCAGTTTCAGTGTAATTCCACCCCTAGAATTTACTCTCGGCCCTCAATCCACCGCTTTGCTAGCAGAGGAAAATCCGCTTGTTTCAATGAGCTGGGCAATTGGATGAAATTTTCCAAAGCTCAGCCCAGGCAGAGGCAAACACAGGATAATCGACACAACGTGCTTTGGGCAGTCTTCCCTCCTTCCCCGCAAGCTTTATCTCCCCTCTTTTCTTCTGCATTTCCCAGAAACCGGAGCTGCGTTGGGCTTGTTCCTAGACCCTGGGCCGGAAAAATTCCGGAGTCTCTTCTTCGCCAGGCGCCCTCCAACTTTGTCCTAACGTTCTGTCTGCACCCTGCAATAATAAACGGAATCGCGAAGTGCGATGTTTAATTAAACCTGCATTTCATTGAAATGGGAATTACAAATATCCGTACATGGCCGTGGAAAAGATCGCGCTCCTATTTGTATGTGCCACTTTGCCTGCCGTGATACCTTCAAACCATAGTGCTTCGAAACCCGACCTCTCCACCCTAGTGCTTCCTGCACCTTCTGATCTACCACTGATCCCTCTTCCACTCCTCCAGGGTATAATATAGGGGGCATGAGGCCGCCAATATTCTTATGTTAAATCTTTAAAATATAACATTTGACCTTCCTTCCACATCTGAGGGACAGGACATAAGCTACAAAGTTAACCTATTTCATACAACTAGACAAGGGGGCAATATACAAAAAAGGGGGTTCAAATAGAGGGGGCGTTTGGGGAAGACGAATTGGAGCTTTGCTCGCACAGAAACTATGTACAACCCCTTTGTTGCTTTTATAACAATCCACTGAGAAGGTATTTTCTCCTGGAGATTTCTCGATGAAGAGAAGTATTCAAAGGAATGTAAAGTGCCGGGCTTTTTTTTTGGGGGGGGGGGGGGAGTGTTTAATTTTTCATTTAAAAAATGACACGCTGGTATATTTTCCTATGGTTTTGAAATAGTAGTGACCCTTTTAAGGTGTTGTTACCCTGATTTCTGTCCGAGAGAAAGATAATTCCTGGGAAGCGAGAGTTTCTCGGGGACTTTACATGTCACTTAAACGCGAACTGTGAAGTTCATTCGTGTCTGTCTGTCTAGACATTAATTAGGAACTGACTTGTCTATTTTGCCTTGACCTTGGACTTCGACTTTTTTTTTAACTTTAGCCCAGGATTTCTGAAAACTAATGTGCCTTCCCGACGACCTGGCGTCCTGAGAAGGAAACTTGAAGTTTATTCAAAGCGTATTTTTCACATCTCTCCCTAAAATGTTACTTTTCTGCTTGGTTTGAGTTATTGGCGGAGTTGGTTTTTCACTTCCTGGAAACTTTTGTTTAATAGTGAAAAGAGTTCACGCTTCTTGCGAAGGAGAAATGCGTCTGAAAGATGCAAATAACTCTACGAAAATGGATATTTAAAAAGCCCTGCAATTAACATGGCATGTTAAGCTGTAAAATATATACAGTGAAGAAACACAATGTGTGTAATACATTTATTACTGTAATGTTGGTCTTTTTAAATCTTATTTGCACAATGCTTAGCTACTTCGGATATGGAATTTTATGTTTGGATATGGCTGCTTAATTCCGCCACATGGAGCAAACCCAGTAGGCAAAAATCCCACGATGGAGGACTAACCCCTTTGAAAAGCACTTGACAACATGAAAAGTTGGGAAAAATGCAGAAAAAGCCAGATCTGGCCGATTAGAGCCCCCAATGTTTTTTTTTTTAAATTCTCGTGGTAAATTTCTCCAGCGTCTTTCTTCTTCCTGGTGCCCTGAATTACTTTGCAAGTTATTTCTGAACACTTATTTTTTGGAACCGGGGAAAATAATCGCAAATTTCTTGTTATTTTTTCGCACGCCTGAACTCACTTTCTTTCGCATCATTTCACGAACGAAGACCGAAATTAAATTTAACTTTACTCTGCAAAAGCGAGGAGGGGGGGTAAACCCCCATAAGCCTCTTCCTACCAATCTCTCGCCGAGTAATTTGCCCTTCTTCTATTTTGTCTGCTTCATCATAACCCATCTATCTTGGACCCTGTTTACATTTTATAAACTGGGTTGTGTTTATTGTCTCCTGCACTTCACACACAAATCAGTCCTGGCTCATTAGCGCGGATTCTTTTTCTTCCATAGCCCGCCTTGGTGCCGCAATCTGCATTACTGAAGTAGCCAAACATTCATAACAGGAGCTAATCATATAATCGCGGCCAATCCCTTTAAAACCTTCCCCGTTTGTTCTGCACGACAGATTAAGTATTATTAGTTTGAATTACTAGGGAAAAAACAAGAAGATAAAGTGGCCATTATTACAATCTTGCGTGCGTTAGGTTTTCCAATGGTAGCTGAATTTAATACCAGAAAAACAGCCGCGGGAGGGGACGGGGAGAGGACAGAGAAAAGCACCTGGCAAAGAAATATACACCAGGTTAATCCCCGTGAATCCCATGAATCGCCCCAAATTAGATATTATTTCTACTATTTTTAAAGTGACCATCCGCCGGAAGTAGTCCCTGATTTTGAAATAAAGGGACAAATTATTACTTGCCCTCCCGCGCACGCACACACACACGGAATTACACAGGTGTTATCGAGAAGTTGAGTCTTCCTGTCACCTAATATCCAAGCGGACGACAAAAGCTTAAAAAAAAGAACTAACATAAAACCAGCAAGCCGCCCCAAGGGGGTTTACTAGGGAAGGCTACTTAGTCTATGAGACCTACCGGTCCTGTTAGTAGGGGATGGGCGGTGAGCATGGAAGAATATTCTACTGACGAAGCTTCCCCTTCCTTCATTCCAGTTGCCTTATGAGGGTGTTCATAGATTTCCCTTTTAGCTCCCACCTGACAAAGGAGCCCTCTCATTCCTTAGCCCCCTCCCTCCCCCGTCCCTCAGGGCATGCCTGCAAAGAATGAAACGCTTCAGTCAACTCACATGGGGGGGGGGAGTATTTTATATTTTACATTTGAAAAAAATATTTGTTGAATATCCTGGCTATGCTGGAAGGCAGCTAAAACAGAACCCCACGTCTAAGTCCAGCTCTTTGTGTCGGCCAAATACTGAGTTTCCCAATCCCCTTATTTAGGGCTACACTCACAGGGGTGCCTTTAATTCGCCCTGGTGCTTGTCCTAGGAGTAGCCAATAGCAGCTGCTCCGTTCCCTTCCCCAAAGCCAGGAGGGACTAGCGGATTGGACGGGCGGCGGAGCACGTGACCGGGGCCCCAGATTTATGGCGAGCGCTTGGCAGGTCACGTGGCGCCAGGGCGGATTTCTTAATGAACTGCCCCCCCCCCAGGCTAACAATATGTGTGTGTGTGTGGGGGGGAGGGGGGATGAGGTGTCTCGGGCTGGGAAGTCGAGTTTTAAAAAGCGCAGGCAGACCATGCCATGACGACTTCACTGATCCTGCATCCACGCTGGGCGGATACCTTGATGTACGTGTACGAGGAGCACCCGCATGAAAACAGCCAGAATAAAACCCCAGCCATGGAGGCGCTAGGTGGGACCTGCCCAACGAGCCACTGCAGGGATCTTATCACGCACCCCGTTTTGGGCCGGCATTCCGGTCCCATCGGGGCGCACCAGGGTTCTGTCTACACGGATATACCCGCTCCCGACGCTGCCAGGCAGTGCCCTCCGCCGCCGGCCTCGTCCAACGCGACTTTGGGGTACGGCTACCCCTTTGGAGGCAGCTACTATGGGTGCCGGTTCTCCCATTCCCACAACGTGAACTTGCAGCAGAAACCTTGTTCCTACCACCCGGCCGAAAAGTACCCCGAGCCCAGCGGCTCCCTGCCCAGCGAAGAACTCTCCTCCAGGGCCAAAGAGTTTGCTTTCTACCCCAGCTTTGCCAGCTCCTACCAGGCGGTCCCTGGCTACTTGGACGTGTCAGTGGTGCCGGGGATCAGTGGACACCCGGAGCCGAGGCACGACGCTTTGCTTCCCATGGAAGGCTACCAGCACTGGGCGCTCTCCAATGGCTGGGACGGGCAGGTCTATTGCTCCAAGGAGCAGGCACAGTCTACCCATCTCTGGAAGTCACCTTTCCCAGGTAGGCTGCTCTGAGCTCCAGCATGCTTGTCTGCTTACTAACCGCCCGGTTATGAAAAAAAAATCGCTTTGGAATGCCTTTTGTGCGGTACTATGTGTATGGACACGTACGGGTAAGAAAGTGAAGCAATTATGCTGACATCCAAAACACATCCCAGGAGCCTGGCGGTTGCTGGCAAAGTGGGCCAAGTCTTTCCCTTGTGTTGCCTCCCCTCCCTGCCTCGGTCGCTGCTCTTTTTGTGGTTTGCTTTTTTGTTTCCAAGTTTCTGAGCTCAGGACGCATTGCACGTGTCTGCTCCTCTCCCGAGGTTTCGCTGGACAGGGCAGGTGGCTTGCCAGGGGAGGGGTACAGTAAATCTTCCGGTGCTTGCAGAAACTGGGTGCCAAGTGACAAATGAAGCTAGTGCGGGGGAGGGGGCTGGCAAACCCCCCAAAGGGATTTCCCTTCATCCAGGTGGAAATCCTGACGGAGTTGCAGCCTCTGCAAAGCTTTGGAGGACTTTCTGGTGCCTTGCTCTCTTGCTGCTTGGGAAGGAAATGCCACCATGCATACCAAGGCCCGGCAGCTTGATCTCCATGCGCTGCAGTAAAGTCGAACTGAAGATTTTGTGCCCCACGCCCAAAGAGATTGGAAATATGTGGGTGCCCGAATCCGGCTTCATTTCTCGGCGCGGGTAGCCGAGAGGCGGGAGAGGCAGCCAGAAAGTGTGTGTGTGTGGAGGGGGGGGGGTTAAAACCGTGTTGATTGAGGGGGGCGTGAATCTTAGAAATCCCCATTAAAGCTTGTTGGGTTTCGGTGGCTGTTTTGGAGAGGCTGATCCAAATATTTTCCTTTCTCCCCTCTACCTCCCCCCACCCACCCGAGTTTATAACCACGACAACAGAATCCCAGAAGTGGTGAGGATTTCGCTGGGTAGTAGGTTCGTCTCGTTCCTAGATCTAGAGCTTATTGTACAACCCTGGTGGCACAAAGTCCTTTTCCCAAGCCGGAGAGAATGGAGCTCTTTACAGATACCCTTCGAGAGTGCATTGCTGGATAGAATCATGTGCTGTTTGGGGGGCAGTTGCGGTTGGAGGCAGAGAGTCTATTTACCTATAAAGGCTCTTTCGAGTGTGGGGCTTGTTTCCTCTGCGGGCAGTATGGAGGAATGAAGGAGGCTTTCCATGGGAGGGTTGGGGGTGCTAGGGCTGCATCTTTGGGCCTTTATGGAAGCCCTTCTGCAGATGTTCCTGGAGCTGGCGTTCTCTTGGCGAACCACACAGAGAACAGCTGGGCGCAAGGTTCCAGCGGGATGACGCGGCGATATTTTTGCGAATCCATTCCTGCCAGGAATCACAGTGGACATTTGCTACCTGCCTAATTGCGTGATGGGATGGAGTCTGCGCTCCACGATCTGAGCGAGTCTTGGGTTAGTGCCTTTGAGACCCGGGCAGAAGGAAGGCATTGTGGCTTGCCTGCGGTGCATTAGTGAGGTCTGGAAGTGAGGGCGTTCACATCCTCACTGCCCCTTTGCTGTCGTCTCTCTGGACGATGTTTCTTAAGTGTGGGTGCCTCTGGAGAGAGGAGAAATCGAGAGACCTGTTTCATATGAAGCGCTTTTTCTGTGTGCTTGGTTGTGCGTTTAATGCACCAACCCCACTTTGCAAATTAGCAACTGATGCCGAGCGAAATCCAGGCTTCCTCAGTTGGCAAATGGTACCCGAGCTGCAGAAGAGAGGCAGCACCAAGTACACAGCAAGGGCCCAATGCCGTGTCCAACGTGCGGGGAGCCATACAAAAAATCATAATTAATAAGTTCCTGTTCGCGGGCCGGGAGTAATGGTAAAGTCAGATATTAAAGCTTACGGGAGGTTTGAAAAAAAAAAGAGGGGAGAAACTTTAAAACCACCCCTCAAATGTATCTGGTTGGAAGGTCCAGTGAATTCGAACTGCGGGTTATTTCCTTAAATTAACTGGCGCTTCTTGTTTAGATCTGAAAACCCACCTAGCCAGCATCTCCTGGGATAGTTGCATTATTGCCAAGCTAAGGTCTTCAGACCCTAGTCAATGAGTTAGCTAGCCCCCCGCTCTCGTAGTTCCGTCTGTCTGTCTGTCTGCCTCCTCCCGTCGGTTTCAGGGAGCAGAGCTGTGTAACTGGTTTATCTGTCTCCCCATCCCTGCAGATGTAGTACCTCTCCAGCCAGAGGGGAGCAGCTACCGCAGGGGCCGGAAGAAAAGGGTCCAGTACGCAGCCAGCAAGTTCATTACCAAAGAGAAGCGTCGAAGAATTTCGGCCACCACCAACCTGTCCGAACGCCAAGTCACTATCTGGTTCCAGAACCGCAGGGTCAAAGAGAAAAAGGTAGTTAGCAAATCGAAGGCTTCTCACCTTCAGGCTACCTGACAGAGAAAGGTTTGAGGGGGGTGGGCGTGGGGGAGGGGAGGCACCAAGGAACAATCGCGGATATTTATCGGATCCACCTGTATAATGGTAACAACACCCATTCGGACTCTGCCATGTTTCCATTGGCCATTGACACCCACGCAGAAAGAAACATTAACTTTGGTTCTGTCCCCGGCCCTCTTCCGCCGTCCTCCCACTGTGAATATCTCACCGGCCGCTCTCCGGCATCCCCCCCCTAACCTTCACCGTGTGTATGAAAAGGCAAATGTCGGTTTGTTCTGTTGCAAAGGCTCGAATCCTGAATGTTATTTTGTAACTGTATAATCGCCTCGCACAGCCCCGCGCGTCCTCCGCTGCATCTCTCCGGCTGCGCCGCCCGCGGATGTCACAAGTAGGGAGACCCGGGTTCTGTAGCAGAATTCTATCCTGTTACATTAGCCCTGTGCCCCTCCGCCGCACAGGAACCCCCTGAAATAAGGCTGCTATCGTGCGAAGAGAATATTTTTATTATTAATAATGTTATTAATTATTGTTAATATTATTCTGCATCACTTACAAAAATAACAAATACTCGTGTAGATCAGCCAGGACATGAAAAAAGTGACTAGCTAGCCAATACATTCCTGAGCGGAAGTTCTCATGAGGGTGGGGAAAGATTATCTATCTCTCCCATCAAACTTAGAATGGCCGGTTTGGTTTTTCGCAGACATGATAGAAAATGCACCATGTTGTCCCTGGTTCCCTACGCCCCGGGAACGTCGGGTCAGCTCAATGTCAGCTCGGTCTGTAAAAGCGATCTTTTTTTTTAAATGTCTTGTATCTGTATATACTAGTGTGGTGTCCAGATATGTACTGAATGCAGATCACGTTTCTTAAAAATAAATATCTTTTTTTTTTTTGCTTTGATAATGGCCTGCTGCCGAGATGTTATTATGGGTAGTCGTACACAGTCGTGGACTTGATTAACGCTTTTGAGGCAAAATCAGAGATAGTGGGGTTTACTCTAATGCAACCCCCACCCCAAAGTAAACAGCTGGGGGTGGGGGGGCGCCTCAGAGCTAAAACCTGATAGGAAAACGGCCAGGAAGGTGCATTTGGAAATGTGTATGGGATGAAGAGCAGACTGGCGCTCAAAGCGTCAACACCTACAAGCCAAAATATGGGACTGGAAGTGGGGTTACAGTGGTTCCTAAATAGGGGGAGAGGCTCCGATCCCTTATCTTCATGGACAGCGACTATATTCCTGTGCCAAGCAACGGGGAGCGGACTTTTTGGAAGATGCTTGCTCGACCGTAGCTCCACATCCTTGCTTATGAGTCTGCCCGGCTCGAAAGGTGTATTTCGCTAAACCAGTTTGACTCAGCTCCGTTCAGAGATAAACATCTCGACCCTGCCTTCTTGTTACTAAACCAGCGGCAAGATCATAATCCGTAACCTGGCTGCATTGATTAATAGGCCAGTTAAAAAAACAAACAGGCTGCTTCGAACCTTGTGTGCTTCCAAAAGGGAGTTCCTTTCAATTCCGAAAGTGGTTTAAAAATATTGTACAGTAATTTGTTTCCAGAGGCGGGTCACAATATACCTTGGTATCTATTAAAATTAATCACCTCGTTAAATTGTCCAAGGAAAAGACTTTCTGAAAGTGATGTAACCTTAAAACAACATTATTTTTGCCTAAATTTATACTAAAAGGGAAGGAAAGTCAGGAACAAGCAATAGAATGAGGGGGGGAGGGGGTAATTGGTAGACTGTACACACAAAGCATATGTGTGCACGTGAGTAGATACCTGATTGATACGTACGTCAACACTTGTATTAAAATAATACGAGCATAGATACATATACAAACGTGTGTGTGCGCGCGCATTATTGTAATGCGCGTGCTGATTACTGAGTATAATGCCTACGCGCACGGAGTTCATGAAACCCAATATCCTGGAATTCTATCACGTATTTAAAAGTTTCCAAGGGGCCTTCCAGATACACTTAGAGGCATGGAACATTCCGCGGGAGTTGATGTTATCACGGGCGTATTTCCTAAAGCTGGAGATGGAATAATGCGACCTGAGCTGAAATAAATATTGGGTTATTCTCATCGGTCAAAATCTCCCTCCTTCAGGGGTGGGAACGAACAGAGGGTAAGTTTTCTTTCCTGAAATGACTTTTTCCAGATAATAAAATAGGCTTTTCCTTATTTTTATTTTCGGATATATTGTTGATTATATTTTTTCAGTGAAAGTAATGGCTTTTAGAAGGAGATAGATAGATCGATAGATAGATAGATAGATCGATAGATCGATAGATCGATAGATGGATGGGGTGTATAGGGATGGATAGGTAGCTAGACTGATGGATGGATAGATAGATTAGATAGATAGGAAGGATAGTACACACGCATATATCCCTTGCTTACCCTAATGTGGAAACCTATTGAAAATTCGCCTTTATTTACATAGGCTGCCAATGAAAGTTATAAACTCTGGATCTAAGCGTTGTTCGGACTTAGGATTTCACATGGACACGCTTTCCAAATTCATCTTCTAAAGGATTTTTTTCCAGAGTGGGTGTGCGTGGTAACCCCTCGCCCCCCTTTCGGGCGCATGTGCACGCCGATGGCGATTGATGTATCTTGCACACACTGCGGACACTGTGCTGATATGCAAAAGCCAAAGCTAGGAAATTCCAGCCCAGTCCAACTGTGCACGGGAAGCGCTGCAGAGCTCGATTAGCTTCTTTAACACAAGCAGCTTCTTCCTTATATAGATACTCCCGCTTCTGTATCGTCCACTCCAACGCATCCGACGAAGTGGGTTTGACCCAGGAAAGCTGATGCCTTAGTCCAGGGGCAGGAACCTTTTTTGGGGTTGGAGTCCGCTGAACCACAGAAAAAATCAGTCGGGGGCCGCACACAAGCGAGAAGACCCCACAAAACCCACTCACTGACGTGGTCCCCAACTGAGGAGAAAGCCCCTCCCCACATTCCCCCTTCGCACACCAGACCCTGGGGAGGGCCAGGCTAGTAGATTCTGTGCGCTCTAGCCCGGTGGCGCAGAGGGCCTTGTGCACCAGCCCCTGCTCCCCAATGCTGAGGGGAGGTGGGGGGGCTCTGAGCCACAGGATCCTGAGGTTCCTCACCCCTAGTCAAACTGCTAGTCTCCACGGTGCCACAGGGTTGTTTTTGCAGATTCAGACTAACAGGGCTACCCCGCTAAGCCTTCACTGGAGCTATGAAGATGGAGGAGAGATTCGTAATTTGCATTTAACCAGACTGGTTAATAATTTTTGTGTTACTAAGAATTCCTATGGGGAAAATGTCTACTTCTTAAAGTGTTTTTTTCTACCAAAGGCTTCAGGTTGAAAAAAAATACTCTATCTATCTATCTATCTATCTATCTATCTATCTATCTATCTATCTATCTATCTATCTATCTATCTATCTATCTATCTATCTATCTCATTGCGTAGAAAGACTATATAGAAGGGGAAGGACAATCGAATGCGCGGGGTACACATACAAAGACTCCTAGCTCATGTTTTAAGTTGAAACTGGGTTGGACGGTGGCTGTTGAAGATGTTATGACAAGAGATGCGTCTCTAGTCTTTTCAGCTTTCCCTTCCCGCGTCCTTCGGTTTCCTCTCCCTCTCCCCCTCAACACACACTTTCCCAATCATATTGTGGATTTAGAAGAGAGGGCCCCAAAATGCAGGGGCTAGGCTAAGGGTTGCGGTGTTCCAACGTTTCAAAGAAGAAAGTTATTAGTGAATCCCATGCCGATAATGAGAGAACGTGGGGAAATAACCCAGGGGAGGGTGAGTCCTAGGGCCAAAGGCCTCATTGTGCGAGTGGGCCAGTCTCCACTCTCCATCTAGAGTTTTTTGACATCCTTGGAACGCTTTTGCCTAGGGGAGATTTAGCCTTGATTTGCTCCGGTGTAAGTAAGATCAGAATCGGGCCTTTCTAACAACAAAGCGGCCTGTCGTGGATCGAAAGGCCTTTTAACCCTTTCATTGACTATTTCGTCGGGTGTAATTTTTTTATTTAATAGATTTTTCTCCTGACTTTTTTTCTTGCAACAATAACAACAATTGGGAAAGAAAGAAAGAAAGAAAGAAAGAAAGAAAGAAAGAAAGAAAGAAAGAAAGAAAGAAAGAAAGAAAGAGAAAGGAGAAGAGACGAAGAAAAAGAAGGAAAAAAGAAAATGAAGAAAGAAAGAAAGAAAGAAAGAAAGAAAGAAAGAAAGAAAGAAAGAAAGAAAGAAAGAAAGAAAGAAAGAAAGAAAGAAAGAAAGAAAGAAAGAAAGAAAGAAAGAAAGAAAGAAAGAAAGAAAGAAAGAAAGAAAGAAAGAAGAGAAGAGAAAGAAATCCCTCAGTATTTTCTGTGCTAGATAGCAGTTCAATTGTGTCTTAAAGTCATTTTTGTTGTAAATTTTCAAACACAAGCAACCTCAGCTTCCAACTCTTGCCTCTTTCAGATTTCAAACGTCCCAGGACTCTTTGATTATGTTATTTATTTATCTGTCGTTTTTTGCATTTGTTGGTTTGTTTGTTTATTTGTTTGTTTGTGTCGGGAGGAAGTCGGATCCGCAAACCATGACGTCAATCCTGGATTACCCTTGACCGTGACTAGGCGGTCTGTTTGACCTTGACATCATGCGTTTCGTGCATATTAATCACCAGGACCGCAGCCTTGATCTTCTGAGGACCAGTCGGTAGCCAGAGTTCGCTAACTAGCCCTTGCTTCTGTTTACGGATTTTTTTTTAAAAAGGTGTCATTTGGAGTCTAGACAGACGGGCTAATGACCGACAATAAAAGCATGAAAAGGAAGTTTCACAAGTTTTGTCTTTTCTTTCCTTTGTATCAAGGAGTTTGAATAAATTCTAAACCTCGGCCTTGGTCGTGAAACCTCCCTTCATTTCCCCCCATTTTTAGTTTTCATCATTCTAGCTCCCTCACTTTTGAAGAATCAGTTGCTGGTTTGGAGGCAAAAGGCGGTTTCGCGCGGTTGAGTTGCATGTTCAGTTCAGTTCAATTGTCAGCGGGCTGGGTGATGGGAAATGCGGATCCGGCCCAGGGAAGAACTTTAGTTTTTGCTGGGATATTTTGAACCGTGAGAGAAGAGGATATAAGGAATTGGCCACTGTCTTTGTCAAGCCATTCGTCTTCGGGTCCCGAATAAACCCCAAAATAGCTATGTATGATTGTGGATGTCCATAGACCTGCCTGTTAATTTAGAAATATTAAGTCTCTCTTGTATATGTTGGAGCGCAGTATCAAAGGGATTTGGAGCCTTTAAGAAATATCCATAGAAAATTCACTCTGATGCACTTTGCATGGAAGTTACAATCCTTGGATGTAAGTTTTCCTACTTGAAGCACCCTGTTGAATAAAGCTGGTCTAGCCCTAGCTTTTCCTCCAACCCCCGCCCCCTCCCCACACACACGAAGAGTAAAGAACGTAAAATATATTTAAAAATATTCTCCGCCCCGGGAAAGGAGAGTTGATCAATTCCCCCTTACAGCTAGTGCAGATCCCACGCCACGAAAGTGCCGTCCGCTGCGCCGATTGGGATCATGAGGAAAGTTGGAGCGTTCTGCGCAAAACAAACTTTTCTGAAGTTGCCTTCCAGAGGATGTATTCACCCGTTTACATTAATCCAGCGGGGGAGTGATATCCTCTGCTGGCAGTGTTGGGGAAAAGAGTGGCGGCACCGAAAGTATTTAACTATTAAGTGCACTCAGAAGATCAGGGCGACGCAGGTTTTCTTTAACCTGGTTGTGAATCAAAACCAACACAGATATTCTGCCTGCTCACTCACATCAAAGGACAGCTCCTGCTGGACATTTTTATACCGATACATTGAATAGTTTTCGATGGTTTTATTTTTTCTCTCCTTCCCCTCGATGGATTCCATTTTACAATCCCATCCTTTCAAAACAAAAACGTTTCCTCTCAAAAATAGCCAGTTCCGGCGATTTAAAATCTATGTAACCAGACTGAAATAAGGTTTGTCTTATTCGGGGCAGATGGCATCCCTCTTTTAATTTATTTGTCTAAATTCTTTTTTCTTGCCATGCAACTGATTTTTTTCATTGATTAAATACCAAATATATCAGACGGCTGAGAAATCCAGCAGGTTGGGCAGGAAATTCAGCTAGCAAGAGAAAATAGTTAGCGGGATGGTCTACATTTCTAACAAAAAAAAGTCACATTCTTAAATTTCTTCGCTCTTGTTCAAAATAGAATAGAATTGGCAACTTATTGCGATAGAACATGTCCAATGGCGAATTCCACTTGGGTACGCTTTGAAGCGCAATGAGGGATGCAGCCTTAGTTCTCTAACCTTCAAATTTAACATCCTGATGTGGAATCATTGTCTGGGTGCTATATTTAATTTTTAAAGCACAGATCCAGGAGAAACCAAAGATTCCATTCAAAGGGGAGGTCGCAGCTGAGAGAAACCCTCTGGAATATCTAGAAGTGACAGCGCAGTGTAAAGGAAATAGGGTTTCGCAAACCACACACATCAGGGTGGGAAACCCGAGCGCTGCAAAGGCCAATAAAATATTAATAAATGAAAGAACTTGCAGGACAAGAGGCGCGTAATCGAAAAAGTTGAAGCGATTTCCTGCCGGTTCTTTCCACTTGCAGTGAGGGATTGCTTTTGAGACACTCATTTGCATAAAATGTAGATCCTATTTACTACACTAGACAGTGACCTTGAACTGCCTGGGTGCGATTTCACTTTGCTTCGTCTCTCTCTCTCTCTCTTTCTGCCCCCTCTCCCAGCTATTACTAATTTATAGTTAGACTGCGTGTGTTGTAATATGAAAGGGACCCTTTTCTAGTTCTTTGCTTGGCTGAGTTGGTTTATGAAGAAGGAAAATAATCATGTGGTGAAAAGTATTCAGCAAAAGTCTTTATCTGCAGCGGGGTTGATTTTAAAGAGGTAAGGCCTAGTTATTTCTCACTCATTGGCAAACAACTTTGTGGATGCTTTGGGGGAGGATGGAAGGAGCACCTATGATCCTTATTTCTTTCAAGATTGTCAAAATAAAATAAAATAAAATAAATCGCCTCTGGAAAGGCGTCCTTGTGTCATGAGGGAAGACTCGGACGTACTAGCGTAAGGAAGTGTATTTTTGCGGAATCACTAATAACGAATATGAATTAAGAAATAGCAGACTGGTATTTGAGAATGTTCTGTTTAAGCCTTCCTCCAGTAATTCCAGCGGTTTGAATCAGCAGTCGGGGAGTGCTTTTTAAAAGCGTCACCCTTGGTTTTTAACTGAAAATGCATCTTTCATGGCAAGAACTCATGGTCGAAAAATAACAGCATCCATAAATAATCGCTAGGTATTTCCTCTCCGTGGATCTGTCTTGCCTGCTAACTGTAAAAGGCACATTCGCTCTGTCCAGCTCCAAAATGAGCTAATTTAAGAAATCTGCCCCGATTTGGACATGAAGGCCGTTGGGCAATAGATGGACTCTTTAGCCTGTCTAGATGCTACTTCCTTTCCCAATGTGGAAGCCCGGCGAAGAGTTAATAGAGAGTTCTACATAATTTTTCCGAGTGCATACTGATCTCACCAGGAATAAAATTCGCTGAGGAGAGATTCTGAGCGCGCCGTGTTGGATTTACTTGGTGCCAAGTCCAGTAGGGAGAACTACAGGCTGCGTTTGGACACGTTGCACTGAAGGTTGAGATACGAAGAGGACGTAAAGATGCGTCCGCGGCTAACTGAGAACAAAGAAGAAAGAAGAACGGGTTTTCTTTAAATAAGAAAGCCCCTTCCTGTGGCAGGCTACCCAGATCACATGCTCCTCCCTGCACAAACGATGCTTTTCCACCGTGGCAAAACCTTACAAATATGTTCTCAACCGAGCCCACAATGTACTTGGAAAAAATTCAAGCAGCTTTTTAGCTGTACCTGGAAAATAATTCCTGGAAAGTTGCAAATTACTAAACGCTCCTCCACACAAGACCAACACACACAGTAGCCGAATGTGTGTGCGCAATGCATCTGTGTACATAGGTGCACACATATCCAGGCATGCATCTTACGTTTATCCGTGGCATGTGGGTGGGGTCTGAACATTCGGTGGAAGCTCTTCATTTAATGCAGTTACCAAAGAAAGCGAGCTGTGCACGACGTATTTTTTTCCTGCATCGCTGGAGGAAGCCTGTTTAGCTTCAGTATTTCCCCCCCGGGTGGGGGAAACTGACTTTGTACCTGACTTTCAAATGTAAGATACGTAGCTCGTGCTCCACAGAATCCCAACAATTCCTGCTCTGCGGTGCAACTCGGATGTGTCCAACATTTCGACCCGCTCCCAAATGTGTCCCTTCACAGTAAATGCGGGAAATTTGACGATAGTTTTCCAAGTCACTGAGCTTGCAAGTTGCTAGCAGGGAAAATTCCAAAGACATTTTCAAAGTATGCATTTTTTTCTTCTTCTAAAAAACAACCCCATATCCTTCAGAGTCTATAACGTTTCCGCTTTGATGCTTCTTGGGTCCTTTCAAATCGGCTTTTAAAATTCTTTATTTCCAG